TTAATAATATTTAATAATAAATATTAAAATATTTTGAAAAAAATATCTTTTTTCTCATAATTACTTTTAAAAATAATTATAATAATTATTTATTAATGAAAAATATTATTAATGAATTTATTAAAATTTAAATGTCATGTCAAACCTTTTAAATAGCAAATATCATACTAATCAATTATACAAGTAATTCTTTAATTATTTTAAATCTATTTGTATAATTATAGATATTTATAATTTTAACTTTTTCATTATTATTATTATTTAGAAAACTAAAAACTATTTCTTACGCAATTAAAAAAAAACTATATGATATTTAATATTGAAATTAGCATTATCAAATAAATTTGATAATAATTAAATTTAATAATGATATCCAAAATATGCAATACTATTGTTATATTAGCAAAATAGTATAAATAAAATATCTAATATAAATAATATAGTTATGTGCATACCTAAAAAAAGACGCAAGACATTATGCGTGGGTTTCATCTTTTATTCTCCGTTTTCGCTGCCGAAACAAATCTCGATACGTTTTAGCATTTCAACATCGAATGCAATAAAAATATAAATTTGTCTATATCTATCATATTAGCATAAATAAAATTGAAACTTACCCATGCTGGTAAATGTACTTTGCACGGGCAAAAACACCTGTTGAACCACGCGAGACAACGTCTCTTCGTTGACTGAGATTGCGGCGGATTTGCGCTCCCCGCAGGCTCAGAAAGTGTGTGCCGTTATGTTGTACAGAATATATCAAAAGTATCAAAGTAACAATATTCCAATCTTATAAAATTAACTCAATTTTTTAATTGAATATAATAAATATAATAAAAAGAATAAGATATTTTGAATGAAATATATCCAGAAAAGACTTATCGTGAGATAAATAATATTTATTATTTATATATATAAATAATATAAATAATATATTTTATATTTATATATATAAAATTATATATATGATATATAATTATATTTATTATATATATTCAAAATGTAAAAATCAATGATAAATAAAATATTTGTTGATAAGTTTTATTGATAGAATTAATTTCGTAGAAAATATAGATACATTATATAATATTTTAAAAAAATATAGAAATATAAAATATTAAATTAAATATAGAAGCATTAATTATTTTATATGTATATTAAATATTAAATATTTTATATGTATATGTGATTATATATGTATTCAAGTTTAATTTCGGAGAATTTATAAAAAATAAAGTAGGTGTTAAATGGATAGTTTATCTTTTCCATATTTAGGTTTGATAGTATCGTCAATTTGTAATAAATTCCATTTCTAAAAATAAGTTGATTTCTAATTAAGAATACACGAGTTAGTTAGTTACATATTTTATTTCTTATTACATATTTTACATAAAATATATATTTCTCTTTTATATTTAATTTACAAAGAATACAGGAGATACAAAAGTAAATGGTTAATGTTTAAAAAATAATCTTGTGAAACTTTTTTGGAAGAGGAACTTAAAATATTGTAAATATGTTAGAAAAACTATATATTAGCAACCTGAAATAAAAATGAATTTATTAAATAGATTTCATACATATATATGGTATATAATGGCATATTTTTTATCTTTTATACCAGTTCATCAAGATCAACATCTGAAGTATCCAAAGACAAAATTGAATCTTCTTTATAAGAATTATTTTCAATATCAACTTTATCTTCTATTTTATTATCTTTAGTATCAGAATTATCATCGATCTGCATGTTATCTTCTTTTATATCACTTCTGAAAATATATCACATTCATTAAATAAAAATACATATCATATTTATCATAATGTGTAATTCGTACTTTTCTTCTGCCTTTAAATCTATATTTTCTAATCGAAATAGCTGTGCAATTTTCTGAATATGAGATTTACTTCTTTCTTTTATTAATGGAGCTTCCAAAATTTTTTTCAAATAATTCTCCATAGGTGGTAATGGTTTATCCGGATTAATAGCACGGTATGATAATATATGCCATCTATGCTGTATTGCAGGATTTGGAACACATCCAGGTAAAAAATATTGATTTCCATCTACTTCATAACTATCCCTGATTATAAATATACAATATTTATATATTGTACATTTATATATGTATAAATAGAATAGAAGTTATATAGAAATACAAAATTATATATTATTACAATATACTAAAAAAAAAAATAATGCTTACTGTATATCATTTAACATTACAGAATTTATCAGATTATCTACAGCTTCATTTTGTTCATTCGATAATTGTTTAATTATAGATTTCATAGGTCTTGATTCCATTAATCTTCGATCTTCTGCAAATGCTAATTCTATTTCTATTAAGCACTATATAAATCATAATAATTTTATATAATATTTTATATAATAGTAAAAATTAAAAAATAATATAATTAAAAAAAAATTTTACAATACCCATGGTTCATCAGGAATATCAATACATGGAAACAATGCGACCATTCTAGGAGTGCTATTATTTCTAAAAACTTTTCTCACAATAGCAACTGAATTTGTTTCATGCATTGCTTGTACCAAACTATAAAATGGTTTTGTTACATTCTAAGAAATCAACATAAATATATTAATTTACAATTTTTTGATGTAAATGAAACAATAAGACATACAACATACATTTGTTTCACTTGAAGGTAAAATAACATGTGTTGCACTTTTATAAAAATATTCCAAATCAATATTGTTTTTATCTGTAAAACCGTAAATTTTATAACTTTTCATTCCACTTTTATAACTCATCTTATCTTCTAGTTCCTCTATAATAAAATAAAATACATAGTAATATATATAACATTTTACAATAACAAATAATATAAACAATTCAATATATACTTTCAACTGGAATAAAAGTTCCTCCATATTTATATCCTTTTATAATTTCATCCTTTGTATAAGAATTTCTTTGTCCATCCAAATATTCAGTTTTTGATTGAAGTTTTTGGTTGCCTTTTGCTTTTTTCCATGTTGGAAATTTTTCTATATCTATCTAATAGAAATTTTACAATTTATTATTATTTAGCATAATATATATCTTCCTGATGTATAATTTCTTCTTACTTTAACGTAACTGACAATTGGTATTTTTTTATCAAATAATTGTAAATCATAATAAGTTGGAAATAGTTTTACTGATGTTTCTTCATAAAATTTCAAACTTGATATAGCATCATCAAATATTATATGTTGACCATTAATCTAAAAAATAAAATAAATATAATAATAATATATAATAATATATGTTATAAAATATTATTATAATAATTAATAATTTAATAGAATATAAAAAACCTGATCATGAACATCCTTCAGAAGCTTTTTGCTACTGTTAAGAGAAGTCAAAGATTTATCATGTAATAGATTTTCTGCTCTAAAAATTACAAAATAAATTAAATTATACTTAATAATTCATAAAATAAAATTAAGGAATTTATATAAAATATATTCATTATACATGGTGATTAATTCAATTTTTTCTTCAAAGAGTTTTTTTTGCGATTAAGTTTGCTTCAAATTTTGAAATAATATTTGTTTCTTCATTAAAATCAGACATCAAAATTATTTTCCTTATAGAATTATCAATACTAAAATAAGAGATATATCATAATTACTATTAAAATGTATATAAATTACAATAAAATAATATGTAATATATTTAAACGTACACATTTTGTTTTATAAATTCCACTGCAGCATAAAGTGCTTCAACCCAATTATAACAATATTTTGTACTTTGTAAATTCATGCATTTTTTTACAAAATCCCAATTTGGAACCTGAAAATCTGTGAATTCTTCTATATATTTAAAGTTAAAATTATTTTTTGTGATCGAGGAACCCATCAATATAATTGCAACTTCATCTTTAGGTTTTAAAAAAATCTATAAAATAATAAATATTAATAAATACATTAATATATAAATAACATTAAATTTAATTTTTATAATACCATTTTTTTCAATTTTTCTCTGTGCAATATGTTTTGCTTTTTCAAATAATGAAGAATTATTTTCTACATTTGGATTTGTTATTCCAACATTTAATAATAATACTAATGATTCCTAAAAATAAAAGTAATATATTATTATGTAATGTAAAAAAATTTATATTTATTTATTTACTTAAGTATAAATTAAAATACAAACTTTTAGAAATTTTAATTTAGAAGAAATTAAATAGATTAATTATATATATATATGTACAATAACAAATATATATATACTATATTACTATAAAAATATATTATACTACAGTCTTTTTATTTATTTTTTATTATTTATTTATTTGATAAAAATATAATAAATATTTAATATAATAAATATTTGACAAAAAATAAATAAATATGAAATATAAATTTAAATATAACAAAATATAACCTTTTTTATTTTTGAAGACATTTTATATGATTATAATTAATATATATAGATTTTGTTTGTATATAAAAATGCTAGAAATTAGTCTCAATTAAAAAAATAGAAATTTAATTGTTGTTTCAGAAAAAAAATTCTCAATCACTAATACACATAGAAAAGAACATATGATCTTTACATGATACGTTTTGATGTGTAGTTCTTATCAATCGAAATGCTTCAAATTTCTTTGATAATAATTTTTATATATTATATTGTATCATATAAAAATTTAAATCAATATATATAAGACATATAATCATATGAACATAATTTTATAATACTTTAAAAATTCATTAAATGAAACAATTATTATAAAATAAATTGTTAATTATTAACTACTATTTTATTGTTATTAACATCTATAAAATATCTATTATGTACATTTTTAAAAATGTACAATATATTAATGAATAATTTATATTCTAATTTTTTAAATAATAATAATAATAATGTCTCTAAAATATTAGTTATAGTTTCAAAATTCTTTTAAATATTAAAGAATATTATAAATTTGAACAAATAATAATTTTTGTTATTTTGAAATTGGTCGTTAGGGGATGCAAACTTGACAAACAAAAAGCGCTAAATTGCCGCGGATATCTTATAATATTCAATTTCATAAGAAAAAAAGTGATCTTGAAATAAAAGGAATGTAATTGAGTTTTTGATGCCATATATAAAAACACATTAAGAAATGAAATTTTGGACAATCATTGCCGTTATAGTTGTAATATATATGTTTTACAAAGATCATCAGCGGAAAAAAATTTCAAAGCTTTTAACCTAAATTAAACTTATTTAATAATTCTTCAAAGAGCGTAAACGTTAGTTTACCAGAAAAGGCGCGTACTGCAGAATTCATAACATTTACGAGAATGAATTTCTATGTGTTTGTTTAAAATTAAGTGCAATCTCTTCAAGTGCTTGAAACTTTAATATTTTGAAATCACAAAATAATATCATCTTTCAAATTCTTATATTTTTTATGACAACGCGTAATTAATGATTTTAATTTATGTTCTAAAATAAAAGTTATTATATTCATTTAGGTTATTTTTATTAAGTAAGATACTTTTATTTATCGTATTTTCTCTCCAATTAAACTCTTGGTTTCGATTTATGTTAGTTTCTTCTCATAGATTGTGTTAAAATATCTTCTATATAATTGAATTAAAATGGAATTAAACACACAAATTTCGTGGTCTCAATTAACAGAAGAAGATGATGCTCTTCTTAATGAAGCCATTTGTATGAGTTCAAATGAATTGAGTAAAATAGTAGACTCAAATAAAGAAGATCTAAAAAGCAAAAATTCATTAGAAAACAAATCTTGTACATCTAAAACACATAATGATCAGGAAAATAAAGAAGGTGTTAGTTCAAATGTAGAAATTGATAGTATTTCTGAATTCATAGAAAATCAAACAAATAATGCAATCAGTATAAAGTATGAAGATAATATAAAAAACAAACCAGATGATGGTTTTCGTAAACGTATTAGGGAAAATCAAATAAATAATGAAGATGCAAAAATTTCTCGAATTAGACGTAATAGTGATTCAAGTTCTACTACAAATTCTTCAGATAGTGGTAAAAGACGAGTAGAATATGAAACAGATCCTAGAGTATTAGCACGTAGGCAAAAAGAATAGATTATGGAAAAAATACTATTGGATATGATAGATATATTCAGGCTGTGCCTAAGTAAGAATTTTATGAATTAAAATATTATTGATAATATACATTTTCTTAAGAACTATTATATTATATATATTTTAGAGAAAAACGTACAAGAGAACATCCAAGAACACCTCCAAAGTATATTAAATATAGTAGAAGAGGATGGGATAGTATGGTAAGATTGTGGAGGAAACAACTTCATCAATGGGATCCTCCGCAAGATAGCAATACTGATTGAAATAAATTTATGTTCAAACTTTATTATGCAAATATATCTCTATGCACATTATAGTTTCACGATTTTTACATTTGTATAAAATTGATAGATATAACAGAATTGATTGAACAAAATGAAATATAATATTGGTACATTCTTACATATAATAAATTCTTATATGTATTTAAAAAGTCAAATCGCAATATAAATAGATAAATAAAAAGTAAATGTAACTAATGCATTCAAAATATATAAAATTTTACATTATTATATGTAAAATTTCTAGAATATGTAAATAGATATTTAAGAAACGTTTAGCAATAAAAGATTAAGAAAAGTATTTTCAAAATTTTTTACATATATAGAATAGTATACAGAATTAAATACATATTGTCATTATTTATATATATATTTTTAAGTTATATGAAATGAAGATCACTTGACACTATATTGAGTTTCTAATTGTTTTAAAATAGTTTCAAGTTTTTGATTTGTTTTTTGTTCCATTTCATCAATTCTTTTCATTAATCTTTCCTCTATATCTTCAAATTTCTTATCAATATATGTTACAATATCTATATTATTTGATGTAATATTTTTATCTATAGATTGTATCATTTCTTTTCCATTATCTTTATGAACACTTTTATTTTTTGATGAATTCAAAATATTCATATAACATGATTGAACATCATTCGTGGTATTGTTCCCTTCATTATTAAAACTAAATTTACTTAAAAAGTTTTTTATTATTTCAGGATTAAATACTTCTGTAGAGAAATTTTTAGGTTCATTAATTGACTCTGTTACATAGAGCTTTATACCATATATCCACATGATTGAATTTTTACTTTTTGTTTTTGTAAACTAAAATGAAAAATTTTAATTATATACATTTTTTTGCAAACTTAGTACACGTACTATCTGTACCTTAATACTAGCTTCTGTAGCATGTGGAAAAATTGCTGTTTCTGCAAAATAGACTGAATTATCTTCAAATTCATCTATAAATTCTGCAAACTTTGTTGTTTCATATTCTCCAAATTGTTTAAAAAATTCTAATACATAAGCTTCAGAAACTACTGCAATCTGTGAGATTTTTTGACCGTTAGTTAATTTTATATCTAGCATACATGGTTCATTATTGGAGTCAGTTGGTTGTAAAGATATACATGTATTCAAAGAAACAATATCTTCAAAATTAGTTCTGTAAAGAAATTCATATTTATTCATTTAAAACAATATGAAAATATTGCTTTATATAATTATATAAAAATCAAAAATTTTTAATAAGATAAACAAATGATAAAATTTGATAATAAATTAGAATATTTATACGATTTTTAAATTTTTTAAGTTTTATGTTTAAATAAAAAATAACTTAAATATATATATATTTATTTATTTATTATATATATATTTATTTATTTAAATTATTTTTTAGATTTATTTTAGATTTATTTAGATTACTTTTTAAATTCTAGAGACGAAGATTTCACTGTGAAAGTATCACAAAATTGTTTATTGTTGCTGATCTGCCAGTTGCATGAAATTTGTAAAAAATTTGTATCCAATTTCAAAGAATCGTCAACCTTTTGATCTAAATTAAGTTCCATATTATATATAATTCTTTCAATAAATTAACACGTGTTATTAACCAATGACAAAAACTATTTGTTTTTTTCATATATATATATATAATACATTATTTTAAATTAGATTTAAAACATATTAATACATTTAATTTTCATAAAGGTTATTTTACATTTCACTTTAAAAGAATAAATAATTTTTTTTAAATTATATAATTAATCATTAATATATAAAAACTACAGTCCAATCAGAATAATTATTTCATATTTTAATAATTATTAAGCACTAAACACTTAAACTGATCGTGTTTTTTATTACTTTACAATCAATATGATGTAAATAAAATGAGAACTAACACAATGGCGCGAAATATTTTATAGACCAAAAAAGCAACTAAGAAAAATTAATAAAATCCACATTTGTATATACATTAGTTAAATTAGTATATCCTTATTATTTAAATAATTATAATTTCTTAATTTATATAATATAAATATGTAAAATCATAAATAACATATACTAAAATGTTTTTATCTAACATTTTGAATAAAATGCTCATACAATTAAAAAATACGATAAGTGGTGGGGGCTTTCAGTTGAATCAGTTGTGCAAAAATATTGAACAGAGATCCGTGCTCACGAATAGTGCGCTTATTTTGTTTTTACGTGCAGTTAGTTCTGGTAAAAAAATGTCCAAATATACGATTGTAATGGTACGTCATGGTGAAAGTGAATGGAATAAATTGAATTTATTTTGTGGATGGTATGATTCCCAATTATCTGATAAAGGTAATTAATTTTTCATAAATAAATTTCAAGGACAAAAGGTCATATAATTTCGAATAATGAAATGGTTAGATTTCTTTCGCTTTCTTTTTAATTTTAAAAATTGATATGCATAGATATAATAAATAAAAGTAATATTAATATTTTATATATCTCATATATAAAATTTAAAAAATGAATAAATGTATCTATGTAATTCAATATTATTTTCAAAAATATAACTATATAATTATTAAAAATATATATATAAATAATTATTTAACAATAAATTTATTAAATTTATTATAATAAATTATAATATTTAAATTATATAAAATATAATTATTCAAAATTATAGGTAAGCTTGAAGCAATTTCAGCAGGAAAAGCAATCAGAGACGCAAAGTTCACTTTTGATATTGCTCATACATCATTATTATCAAGAGCTCAAGATACTCTTAAAGCAATTCTTAAAGAAATAGGGCAAGAAAACATTACTATTCAAAAGACATGGCGATTAAATGAACGTCATTATGGAGGTTTAACTGGTTTAAATAAAGCTGAAACCGCTGCTAAGTATGGTGAAGAACAAGTTCAAATTTGGAGAAGATCCTTTGATGTACCTCCTCCACCAATGGAACCAGATCATAAATATTATGACATAATAGTAAAAGATCCTCGATATGCAGGTGATCTAAAACCAGAGGAATTTCCTAAATTTGAGTCTCTTAAATTAACAATTGAAAGGACATTACCATATTGGAATAATACTATTATTCCTCAATTAAAAGAAGGAAAAAGAATTATCATAGCTGCTCATGGAAATAGTTTACGTGGCATAGTTAAACATTTAGATCGTAAGTTTTTATTTTTATAAAATAATAAGTTTTTTTATATATTATATTAACAACCTTACATTTTTTCAGAAATGAGCAATGATGAAATCATGAAATTAAATTTACCAACTGGAATTCCATTTGTTTATGAATTAGATGAAAATTTCAAGCCTGTTGTATCTATGAAATTCTTAGGTGATGAAGAAACTGTAAAAGCTGCAATGGCTGCAGTTGCTGCACAAGCAAAAGTTAAATAAAATTAAAAAAAATTAAAAATTATTATTACAAACAAAAGATGTTTTTCTAGTTTCATTATTATTAAAAAATTATTTTATTGTTACAAGATATAATATGTATGTAGATGTTCATAAAAGAGAAAAAAAATGGGAAAATAATACATAACTATTACTTTATTTACAAGCTTCTACATATTATAATTTATGTCATTAATTATTCATTAATTATTCATTATTCATATAGTTATTTATGAAATGTCATTATAAAATATAAATTTTAAATTAATAAAATGCATTAAATTTAATTATTTTTCCTTGACAATTTAATTAATATTACATGTAAATACATAAATAAATTATAAATTTTTGTAGATTATTAATTTCTTTGAAATGAAAATTAAATTTATAAAATATATAATTATAAAATTATTAAAGAAATTTAAAGTGTTAACAGCACTACATGAATATTAGTAGTATATATTATTAATTAACATATACTAGTAATATATAAAATAAATTTGGCATTCGTAGCCATATATTATTATATATTCAAAAGCTACAGAGATTATATATTATAGCTTTTCTATAGTTAAATTTTAAAATTAAATTAAAGTTTCTTTTATTATTTTATGTGTCATAAAGAATTTTCAAGACTTATTTCAATTTTTTATTTATTTTTTCACATTTTATTAGTTGCACAATTACTATATAGAGTGTAAAGAAAATAAGTATTAATCAAATGAAATAAATTAAATGCAATACAATAGATAAATGTTAACATATAAAATTTTATATTTAAAATGTTTATATTATATTTTATAAACATAATATAGATAAAATATAAAATAAATCGAAAATTCAATGTATTTTTCTCTCCATTTATCCCATATCTTAGAAACATTAGGACCTTAACATTAAACTTTTGGCCATTTTAAAACCTTCAAAACATTAATTTTACTCAAAATAAAATTACAAAAATATAAAAATTATAAAATTAATAATGATTGAAATTAAATAATCTTCATTCTCAACTAAATTTCAATATAAAATTATCAATAAAAAATTCAATAAATCTATTATAGATTATTTTATAATAATAATGATTATGTTTTATATATGATTATATTTATATAAATTGATAATATAATATGATATTGATAATAATCGATAAACGATTAAAATGATTATAGATTAAAATGATGATTTCATATTATTATTTAAGCAATAGTCATCTGACTCAAAATTATCATAATTTTTCTTACTTTTTCATAAATCTTTATATCATAATAACAGAATGAGGTGACATTTTTTTTCTAAAAATAACATTGTAACTTAGTCAATTAATTTTATGATTTGCTTATTTCAAATTTTTTGTACTTTGTATTTTTTCTTCTTCTTTTGTTTAAGAAAAAAAAACAAATCAAGTAGTATATCTGATCTGTAATAAGCATTTGATTAGTTTCAAAATGATATAATACTTATTTCTGAACACTATTTAATGTATTAAAATCTTTATTATACTTAAAAATCATTTATATATATAATGATTAAACATTAAAGAATTAAATGAATATGATGTACATATATAGCACTAAGGATCAAATATGTTTTATAGATGCATATAAAAAATTATGAAAATAATTTATAAATATTTGTTGCTTCATATTTGATAATTGTTTAGATGATTAATTTCATGTCTTAGGAATGTTTTAAATTTCACTGTTGTTGAGCAGTGTATCACATTTAAATAGCTGTGTCATACACAGAATATAATACATTTTGCAAAATCATTATTTTAGAAATGTATTGTATATTTTCTAAATTAAAAATTGCATATTATAGTTTTAAAAGAAAAATGATAAAAATATATTTGTTAAAATATTAAAGAATCAGTGCTTCATCTAAAATATCTTAGATGAAATAGATATAAAGTAGGAGAAGAATAGAAATAGGATAAGAGCATCAATACTCTTGCTACATTTCTTTAAAAGTAATATAAAATAGTAATATAAATATTTTAGTAATATAAAAGTAATATAAAATTAAGAATCAACAATTTCTTAAATGCTTTTAAAAAAATTTGATACTATTTTTGATACTCAAGAGTGCAATATGTATAAAAGAGATACAAAGACAAAAATATTGAATGATATTTATTTTATATCATAGTCACAAACTAAATATAAGAATAAATCAAGTTTATGGATTTTCAAGAATCAAATTTTAACTTCTATAAAATTCCTTGTTTTTAAGAATAAAAATATTTGACTTATCAAATATAGCCATCTTATATAAATTTGAGTTAGATTTATTATTATTTCACTCCTGGATAAATTATTCAAATTAATATTTTCATTTTTAGAAATATCAAGTATAAAAGAAATAAAAAAAAAAAATAACAGAAAAAAAACAGATAAAAATATTTGTTGTGCAGATATGACAAAGTTTGCTATTATGTTAGACATACTTTATAAATAGAAATGATCCTGTGTTGGGTATTAGATTAGCATTAGGAATTTTAGATAAAAAAAATTTAATAAATAAAAAAGTAGCTCACCTATCAAGATTAATTTAACTCGATATTTGATGTATAGCGAATACAAATATGTTAATATTAAACAATTATATATAAGATTTAATATATTATAATGTCTGTACATCATATTTCTATGTATAATACTATAATATTAACAATTTTTTAATATATTTTTTATTAATATTTTGGAAATCAATAAATTTCTTAACTAAAATTTTATGTGACAATCGGTATCAATATGAAACTTTATCCATTATTTATTATTTATAATAATTAATATTAATTAATCAATAATAATTATTGTTAAAAATATTCGAGGAATTTCATTAACTTAAATCTTTCTTTCTTGCTACTATCATTAAATAATTTTAGGTAATTGATTGTTTTATAATTTTTATTGTTTTAAGACATATTTCGTACATTTAATTCGCTACATTTATAATTCCCACCAGAATGAATCAAATCAGATTCTGTTGGTAACAATGTGAATGACACGAAAATGATAATGGGGTTTTAGAACTCTAGAATTTGGGCCAAAATAAATTGCATGATTTATCTATTCTTATATTTAATCTGTGGTTATGTATCGCACATAAATGTAAAATGAATGATAAGTCTTTATATTAAATCTATTTGTTAGCTATATATTTACATTAAGTGATTGAAATATTTTTCTTGAATGATTAACTATGTGTGATAAAGTTTTTAATGACAAGATTTTTCTTGTTAAACGATAATATAATATAATAGTTTTGAACTTTATTTCCTAAAAATATTAGTTATCAATAATTTTTAAAAAAGCCATTAATTAATCTAACCTTAAATGTTACAAAAAAGACTAACGTTTATTTCATAGCATTGCTGTATTGAATAAGTTTTATTATTTAGGCATGAATCGTGTCGATTTAAAAGTGGTTTTATTGGGTAACGCAGCTGTAGGAAAAACGAGCCTCGTGGAACGTTTCGTAAATGAAAGGTTTAACGAAAGTCTATCTTATCAAAATGTAAGTATAATCAATATATGCAATTATGCAATTTAGAATTTTGTACAATGAAATAGTTCGAAATTGTTTATTGATATTATTCAATATAAAATATATAAAAATATGAAAAATTAAAAATTTAATTTGTACATCAAATATCTCTAAAGGACAGAGAATATTTTAAATTATTTGCAAATTATAAAATTTTGATTGGATTGATTTAGGGAGTATACTGATTTAGGTCTTGTTTCTCTTAGTCCGCGAACTGGAAGGAATATTATAAAATAATGTTATTAAGATTTGCACTGAGAATCATCTAAGAGGTGCATCACAAAACAAATTAACCCAGTTCCACTTTCCTTAGACTATAGGCGCTGCATTTGCAGCTAAGCAAATGCAAGTCAATGGGAAAAGGCTTATCATGGGAATATGGGACACAGCAGGCAGTGAAAAGTAAGAAATTTTTAAAAATTAATTAATAAAATTATCATTAATTATCATAAAAAATATTTTTAGATATGATGCTATGAGTAGAATATATTATCGCAGTGCAAAAGCTGCTGTCATTTGTTATGATATTACAAAATCAAATACATTTCAAAGAGCAAAATTCTGGGTAAGAGAACTTAGAAGTGTTGAAGAAGGATGTAAAGTATACATTTGTGCTACAAAAAATGATATCTTAGAGCACGGTGCAGTTCCATCTCCTGATATTAGTGTCGTAGAAGCATATGCTACAGGAATTCAAGCTAAATTTTTTATTACATCGAGTAAAACTGGAGAAAATGTTGGTAAGGAATTATAGTATAGTTAATATACTATTAAAAATAATATTACAATATTTAATATTTATTAAGTCATTTTTATAGCTGAATTATTTAATGAAATTGCACAAGACTTTGTATCTGATCCAAATAATGTAGAAAAAATTGAAGAGATAATTGAAATAACTAATGAGTCCAAAGCAACATATTGTTGTCATTGAAAATATTAAAATCAGTATTAAAAATTATCACAATTTTCTTATATATTTATCATATTTTATATTATTTTATACAAGTGAATATCACAAATGTAAATTGATGCGGTATACTGTAACTTGATATATTATTGAATGTAAATGTAAGAAAATTCTTGCTCTTGAAGATTATTTTTAAATATACTCTATATTTTACTCTGTATTTTATTTTCCTTTGATGTGTTTCTTATTTGTTTTTCAAATATGCATGTCCATATTCATTTAAATATATTGTAGAATGAAAATTATTATTTCTAAATTCTAATTACTTCAATTCAAAGGCAAAATTCTTATCATAAACATGTTTTTCTATTAACTGTAATATCAACATAAAATGCTATTATCTTTCCATTTTCATAGTATATGAAAAATTCAATATGACATCAATACTCACTTTTTTGAGATCTGTAATAAAAGATGTTATAATAAATGAAATATGATTTTAAAAAAAATTTCAAAAATTTACTTACTAATGTAATATATCATGAATATATGATGAAGGATTACTGCAATTATTAAAATAATTATTAATTTAAATAAAATTACCTTCTGTCATTTTTTGTTTAATCATGTAATAGTATTATTTAATTAAATATTAACTGTGATTTGTATTTATAAAGATATTTTTTGTAATATTATGGTGGTAAATTTGAAATGCAAATTTCTCTAACTTTTTCATACACACCAAAAAATATGAATCCGCTAATTGTAAAACCACCGACTCTTGGTAGAAAGCCTGCAAAAAGTCTAAAGATATTTATCGATTATTGTTTGTAACATAATAAAAAAAATAATTTAACAAAGATTTATTATATACCCTCTAAAACCATAATTGCAATAAACTTTTTTTAACATCACAGATATTTTTATTTCATCTTTTCCTATCGCCATATTTGATAGCATTATTCTAGTCTTTGCAACATCTAAAGGTGTTGTTATACTTGCAGATATAGCAACTGTAAAAAATTAATATTTATATAATTTTAAATATATTATATATTTTTAAATACATTTGATTAATTTAAAAATCGTAATTTGATCAATTTTTTTTCTTCAATCTCTTTTCTACCTGATAGCGATCCGCAAAGAGCACCCTCTAGAGGCGTGCATTCACGTTTCATATGCTTTTTCCAATGAAATTTAAAATACTCCCAAAGTGGCATCTGAATTAAACCGAATGGCAAATCTCGTATTACAGTACTTCCATAGCCACGATATAAAGTTTTCAATGGTAATTTATGCGGATCAGTTAATAATGCTTGTCTTCTCTGTTTCACTACTTCTACTGGGACTCGAATAAGACATGCAACCTATTAATAATATCTCAAAATTTTTAAGTAATACAAAGCTATTGTTTCGATATTTATAAATAAAAAGTAAAAAAGAAAAGATGGCACATTTATTAACAAGATGATACAATAATAATATTTATTATAATATATTTTTCGAATACGATTATTATTATGCATAATGTTAAATAATAAATTACCATTTCTCCCACTGACGCGGCAATCATATGTATAATTGAGTGATATTGTTCAGGTATTTGAGGTTCAAATACTATTTTAAAACTTTCATAAGTTAAAAAAAATAAGGAAGCTGTAAAAAATTTTATCAATATAATTTTTTATTAACTTCAAAAAATAAATTTTTCAAATCTTAAATTTTTGTCTTAATCTTTACCCGAGGGTGCGGATCCTACCATTACGGGCCCCAAACCTTTGTACAATTGTTTAAAACCGCCAGATTTTAAGAAACCATGTTGGCTTTGTAATCGTGTTTTAAGCGTATCCAAAGGAATGATATGAAATCGCATATGGTTCCTGCGAGAGCACCTGACTATTATAAATTTAAAATTACTTTTATTGTAAAAATATATGTGCATAATTTTATATAAATATTTGATAGTTGAAAGAAATTTATTTTTTATTATTTTAAATAAATTATTAATTAATTATATAAAGTATAATAATTGAGTTTTATGTATGGTAATTATATAATATATATATTAAAGACATAATTTTTTCTTAAAAATATAACTTTTATTTACAAAAATAATTATAAATACACGAATAATAATAATATAGTATATAATGATGATATGATAGTACAATTATTTTATAAAGATTTATATTTTTTTCATTTAAAATATTTAATTCCATAAAAATTACCATTAATTATTATTACTTATTTTTTAAATAAATTATAATGATTATATATTATATTAATATATGCTATTGTATAAAAAAACATACTTTTCATTTAAAATATTTAAACATTAAAAATTATTTTTATCTTTTTAAATAATAAATTATAAAAATTATAAACAAAATTTAAAAAATAATTTTATATATATAATAATATAAATATAAATATTTCATGATTTTCGATATAAATGTAATAATTTAAAGAGTTTTTTTAATAATTATATATATTAATTAATTATATATTTATTATACAGAAATTTACTTACGATTAATGAAGTAAGAAAAAAGTTTTTCGTGCTCATAGATGATGTTGATTTACTTTCTTGTAACATTTTCAGTTAATGGAATGCTTTTTTTAATGTATTAACATTTTTAGACGAACATCGAGCAAATTTAAAGCATAATTAAAAACTTAATTAATTAAATGTTTTAATTGATTAATAAATAAAAAATCATTGCTTTAATGATAGTTAACTATCATAAAATATTTGTTGAATCAACATGAAAAAATTAGGAATAATATCTACTTTAAAAATTTAACATTTTGTACATATATGTGAACAAAGTAACGATGTAAAATGAAAAGACCACGTGGACATTATTATATAATGATCACTTCACAAGTTAATCATTTACTTGTATAATTGTATTATACCTTCAAATCTATATTGTCATAGTCTGCTAGCGAAACCTAACCTTATCTCATGTACTCTGAAATTTTACTATCTGAATTAGGAAAAGCTTTTGTTTTGAAGACAGTTTTCCACTAGAAGAATAGATGAAGATGCGTGACAGAAAATTACTAGATGTAATATATATAGAAAATTGATGTAATTACGTCATGAAATCTGTTTCATGCAGTATGAAGAAATTCTTAGCTTTTGTATTTGCCATGTTTCGATTAGTCAGGAGCACGAAAGAAATTTCTGAAAAATGATCAACTTGATGTTTTAGATATTGTTAAAGTGTTCACATAACCTTGAAATTCATTGACATCCCTTTGGGCGGGAATCTCGAAACATTTATGTTTTCATTTGATTGTCCATAAAAATGTCTCAAAATATTTTGAAAAGCAGCTTAGAAAATGCTTCCTTCAATATTATATTTCAGGTATTACACTATTATAACAAATGTAAACTATTTTATTTTATAGCAAGAAATATTATTTTCTTTATGAGAAAACATAACTTTTATCACTTTTAAAAAATTGTTAATTACAATTTTATTTATTTGCTTATTTGATAAAATCTAATATTTTTATTAATATATAATATAATATTAATATATAGTAATTTCTAAAAAAATTAAAATATATCTAAGAAAAAATTATAACTTCTTTTTAGATATTGTGCAGAGGAGTTACTTTTGTTTTAAATGCTTTTGTTGTTCGTCATGTGGGTCAAGCTGTCTTAGGAGTCATAAATGTGAGGCTATTATTATTGGAATCAATGATCTTATTTCTATCTCGAGAACCTTTCATGAAAGCATGTTTAACTAATACAGTAGAGCACAATTGGGCTCAAGTTGTAAATTTATTATGGATGACGTTAGTCTTTGAAATTTATTAGTTACAATATAAATGAAATAAATATCAATTGTAAACACAATTGTAAATCTTTTCAGGGTTCCTATATGTTTTTTAATGTCTTTGATGTTTGGCTATATTTGGCTTTCTGTTTTATCAACTTCTGAAACATTACCATCATATTATACATTTGCAGTTTGGGCAGTTGCTTTATCTTGTATTATTGAATTATCATCTTTAATTGTTCAACTGGTTGCTAGTGCATTTTTATTTGTTAGGTTGAAAGTAAGAATTTATATTAAATAATAAAATGAATGAATTAAAAATAATTCAAAGTATATTTATAATCTATTGTAATTAAATGTTGTATTAAATTTTTTAGATTATACTGGATACTATCATGATTGCTATTCGTACTGTAACATTTGTTCCATTGATACTTCATAATCCAGAAAATGCATTGTTAGCATTTGGTATAGCTCAATTAGTTGCAGCAGTATTTTATACTACTAGTCATTATTTATACTTTCATTATTATATTAAAAAAATTAATAAGTGTAAGTTAAAGAGAAAAATGTCATTAAAAGATAGTAGTGATGAATATGTTGTGAGAGAATTTCCATTTAAAACATTAAAGGATTTTTTGCCTGGACAATTGGAAAATAAAGTATGTATTAAAATAAATCTCTTATATATTATGTATACAAATTGTTACATTTTAGGAATCATATCTAGATAAAAAATTGACTATTCTTACATGGAGTTTCTTTAGACAAGGATTTCTAAAGCAAGTTTTAACAGAAGGAGAAAGATTAATTATGACGGTAATGCCAGTATTAACATTTACTGAACAGGTATTTATTCAATGATAAATATTTAGTTTATTATAATTATTTTTTATTTAATTTTATTCTCATATGTTTAAAGGGAACATATGAAATTATAAATAATTTAGGTTCTTTAGCTGCAAGATTTATTTTCCGTCCAATAGAAGAAAGTGGTTATTTTTATTTTACCCAAATGATAAAACGAGACAAACCAGTTAATGATCAAAATCCTGTAAGTATTAAATGAAAAATTTAATGTATCTAAGTATTATAAATTACTAAAAATAAATTTATTTCAGATTAAAATACAAGAAAGTGTAAATGTGCTTACACATTTATGTTCAGCTGTTATGTCAATTGGTTTAGTTGTTTTAGTATTTGGACAATCATATTCAAGTACATTATTATGGTTATATGGTGGTGCTAAATTAACTTCACATCTACCGGTACTTTTAATGCGAGCACATTGTTTAGCTATATTACTTTTGGGAATAAATGGAGTAACAGAATGTTACACTAATGCAACAGCTGATAGTACAACTATAAACAAGAGTAATTTGATTATGATTTATGAATCAATTGCATTTTTATGTGCATCCTATTTGTTTGCTATTTGGTTTGGACCAGTTGGTTTTATCCTTGGAAATTGTGTAAACATGAGTTTAAGAATTCTACATTCTATTATTTTTATTAATAAAAGATATAAAGATACAATATACCGTCCATTACGTGGATTAGTACCAAAGCCTATGTTTTCTGCTTCTCTTCTCATAGCAGCATTGACTACTAATGTATCTCATGTAAAGAAATCATATTTATTTTTTTACATATTAATAGAAAATCTTCTTCTATTATAGATTATAATTTTTATGTTTCAGGCTTATTTTTTTCCAAACGAAAAAATATTGCACTTAATTATTGGGATGATAATGTTTATGATAGTACTTGTATCTTGGATATATGAGCATCATGATTTAATTAGACTTGGTACAAACAAATGGTATGAAAGAAAAAATATATATAAGAAAAATGATTGACCTTAAATATATTTCTAATGATTCTTGATATTTATCTAAATTGTCTACAAAGGTGCTATAATATATAATTTTTATTAAAATCTTGTAAAATTTAATAGTTATGTATTTTCTATATTATTATGATCAAAATCAAATACAAGTTTTCCCATCTTAGAAAATACATTATAAAATTACTTATTTTATAATGTAATAAATTAAGTTTATGTATAATTAACAAAATAATATATACATAATGAAGCTTAGTTTAAATATAATCTATTAAATAATATTATCAATTTAAGTAAAAAACTATTTTACATAGAAACATCCTTATAAATGGCACCTACTACTGCACCTTGGCGTTGTATAAGACATTTCCTATAAAATAATTTGATGTTTTTAATATTAATTTAATGCAATTCTTTATTTAAAAAAATGTTGAATTTCAAAGTTATTTAATAAATTTGTTGAATAATAATTTTTATATTACATGGATCTAATTCTAACATAGTACAGAATAAAATAAATTTTTTAATATTACCTGTTATCATTTTGAAGAGAAATAATTGGAGATGGTGATTTAGGTTCTAATTTTGCAACTTGATCAGCAATAGCTGCAATTATTCCGGCGCTGTCAGTAGATGCATTTCCTTTAACTAAAAAAAATTTATTTTAGGGTTATGTTTTCAAACAATATTAAATTTATTAAATTTAAACATAATTAACAAGAAATACCTCCTAAACATAATCCAGCATGATCAGCCAATATACAACCAATAATACCTTCAGTATTATTTCTATTAAAAATATTGAATTTTAATAATGATTTTAGTTTTTAAATAAATATATTATGTATATATAATAATATTATGATTTGACTTTATTTATTTTATATTTTTCATTAATATCACATTTCATGTTTTATCAAATAAATACAATTTTCAATTAGATGTTTAAGGTTAAGTATTATAATTTCTATAGAATTCTATAGAATTCTAGAGAAAAAACAATTTAAGTATTGAATATTGAATATTAATAAAAATAAGAATTATTTAATTATTTTTAAGTTTTACAAAAAAGTTATATCAATATAATAATGCAAATATAATAATGATTAGGATAGTTGTTATATCACAAGGATAACATGAAATTTTTTTATTAAAAAATTAAATTTTTTATTAAACTTACATATCATCTAATGTTTTTTCTAGATTCTTTTCCATTTCAAAATTTAAATTAATTATAAAACTCAAAAAATATAAATAATTAATTACTCGTTAAAAAAATTGGTTTTATATGATTTTCACAAATGACACTTTTTCCTATATGTTTATAGAACAGTATCTTATCTTGCAACAAATTTAATTGAACTATTCAATATATCGTAGTAGCAAATTCTTTATCGATTATCATTCTAAATGGTGTTACAAAAAAAAATCTTTGTAATTTATGTATTTCTAAAATTCAAAACAAAATTTCATTGTTAAAATATGATTAATTAAATTTGATAAAACAACTTTTTATTATTAAATAATTGTATACAAATTTTATTGATATAATAACTTTGTTATAACTATGTAAAAATATTTTAATCATTACATATAAATTAATAATATGTTAATATTACAAATATAATTACATTCAAACTTGTTATATTCAAACAGAATAAATTATCTTTTTAATTTCTAATTTTTTTAATAAAAATAAATGGTATTATTTTTGTATGATTATATAAATAATAATTTATTATAATTAATATTAATTCAGTACTTATAATTATTACTAATTCAATACTAAAATACAAAAATGAATTTTTTTTATGAAGTATATATGTATGTGTATATGTACTTCGTCACCCTATATAAATAATATCACGTCGTAAGTGATTTGGACGACGTGACTAGCACAGTGACAATCATGGCTGGTAAGTGTGAAGATCTGCTCTGTTTTCTTTCAATTATTTTTACGACAGTATTGTAATAAATAGGAAAAATGCAAAACTTCTATGTTAACATATTTTTTTATTTTATTTTTTTTTATTAAAACAAAATATTATTCAATTCATTACAGTATTAAATTTGCATAATATTATGCATTTACTGTCCTAATTTAAGAAATCACTACAAAAGAAAGTGATTTGAATTGTATTTTTTTATTTTATTGTTTGATGATATATATCTATTTTAAATTACTAATTTTAACATATAAATTAAGAAATTTCTTTTAAATTAGAAACATAATATGATACTATCATGATACAAGATTATGACACCTGTTACATTTGACAATCTACTAGTATTAATACTACATAGTTTATATTTTTAATGAATTCTTTTAATCTTGCAACAATTGAAGTAAGAAAATTTAAAAGGCAATTTAAAAAATAATCTTTTATGTTAATGTTTTAATAAATAACCAATAATAAAAGAATAAATATATAATAATTAATAATAATTAATGAAAATATCATTAAGTTTTAATTGAAAATTAAATATTTGAGAAACTTTGATAAACTTATGTATGTATGTGTGTATATGCGTGTGCGTGCGTGTGCGTGCGTGTGTGTGTGTGTGTGTGTGTGTGTGTGTGTATAAATTAAATACTTATATTATTACAACTTATAACTATAATTTTACATATAATATTTATATAATATTATATTATTATGTATTTATAATATTATTTTATAATATTATATAAAATAAAGTATATTATAATAAAAAAATATAATAAATAAATAATATTTTTTGTTTAATACAATTCTAACATAAAAAATTATTTTCATTTAGAAAATCCATATAACCATTTAATGAAGTCTATTAAAATTGGACTTAAAGAATATAAATATTTTGATATTACCAATTTTGGGAAAAAATATGGTATGTATCAATAAATTATTAAATATATTAATATTCAATAAAAAAAAATATTTTTGAATTATATATTATTTGTAGATAGATTACCATATTCAATCAGAGTGCTTTTGGAAAGTGCAGTTAGAAATTGTGATAATTTTCAAGTGAAGAAATCTGATGTTGACAGGCTTTTGAATTGGGAATATAATCAGACTCTTGAAGGAGGAATAGAAGTAGCTTTTAAACCAGCTAGAGTAATATTACAGGTAAATATTTTTAAGAAGTATAAATTCTTGTGAATAAAAATGAAGTAAAATTCTATAAATTGAATTTTAATTTAAGATTTATTTTATAAATAGGACTTCACTGGAGTTCCAGCAGTTGTTGATTTTGCAACTATGAGAGATGCTGTCAAAAGATTAGGAGCAGATCCAGATAAGATAAATCCTATCTGTCCATCAGATCTTGTTATTGATCATTCAATACAAGTTGATTTTTTTAGAACGTAAATAATTATTTTTCTTACATCTTATTTGATCAAAAAATTAAATAATAGAATACTTATTGAAGTCAAATCAAAAAATTATCATTATATAAAACTATTATAATATGATTAATAAGAATCAATTTAAATTTATTGTTTTCTTTGCATTAAAAATAAATGATAATATTTAAGATATAATATTTAAGATAAAGATAATAATAGTAATTTGTTAAGCAATAAAAATAATTTAGTTTTAATAAAATATAATTTTTTTCAGTAAAGATGCTTTCAAAAAAAATGAGGAAATAGAATTTGAAAGAAATAAAGAACGATTTATGTTCCTAAAATGGGGTACTAAAGCATTTCAAAATATGTTAATTGTACCTCCTGGAAGTGGAATAATACATCAAGTAAATTTAGAATATCTAGCCAGAGTTGTATTTGAGACAAATGGCATATTGTATCCTGATAGTGTAGTTGGGACAGATTCTCATACAACAATGATCAATGGTCTTGGTGTAATTGGTTGGGGTGTTGGTGGAATTGAAGCAGAAGCAGTAATGTTAGGTCAGGCAATATCAATGTTATTACCAAAAGTAGTGGGATATAAATTAGAAGGAACACTAAGTCAATATGCAACTTCGACAGATCTTGTTCTTACAATCACAAAGGTAGAGTAATTTTTCTAAAATTTTAAAAGAATATTTGTAAATTTAATTACAAAAAATAATTATTATTGATTATTATCATGTACTTGCAGAATCTTCGTCAAATTGGAGTTGTTGGAAAATTTGTAGAATTCTTTGGTCCAGGAGTTTCTCAACTCAGTATTGCAGATCGCGCAACGATTTCGAATATGTGTCCAGAATATGGTGCTACAGTTGGTTTTTTTCCTATTGATCAACAGAGTTTAACATATTTAAGACAGACAGGTATATAAACTGCAAAAAAAAAAAAATAATCATAACAATAACATATTTAAATTTAGATTTAATTTATGAAATATTTTTACAGGACGATCTGAAGAACATATTAATAAAATAGAAAAATATCTCACCGCTGTACATATGTTAAGGAACTATGATGATGAAAATCAAAATCCAAACTTCTCAGAAGTAGTCACTTTGGATTTAGGAACTGTAGTATCTAGCGTGAGTGGTCCTAAAAGACCTCACGATCGTGTATCCGTCGTAGATATGAAGACAGATTTCAAGAATTGTCTTACTAATAAGGTAGGAATTTTTTCAAATTATCATAACACTTATAATATAGAATATTATTCAATTTATTAATATCTGTCATGTGAAAAGTGTGATTGTGCAATAACATGCAATAGCGATGATTAGTCAGTACTCGTATGGGACAAACATAACCCAGTGACGATCAATTATTACCGTCAAACAGGATCACGTTCATCCCATGATGTACTCAGTAGTATTCAGTGCGTCGTTTCATGTGCTTTTGAAGCGTGATATATACTTGTTAAAGCTCCTTGGTAAAGGTGAAGAAAGGCAAAAGAATACCAGGTAACTACTGCTGTGATATGAATCTTTTATTGCAACATATCACAGCAAGAGTTCCTCCGAATTCTTTCATCTAAATTTTCTGGAGTGCATATATATGTGTGAAGCACCATAAATATTTGAAAATTCGATTACCTTGCATCTTGATAAAAAATTTACAATATTCAGTCACATTTCATGAAGCTATGTCTCGAATATCTTGCCTTGCTGAACTAGCTTTATGGCCTTTCAATTTACCATACAGTTAGCTCACCAAAGAAAAATAAACGGGACGATTTAGTAGAAATGTTGAATAACTGAACAATATATGTTAAAAATAATGTTCATTAAGTATTTGTTGATGATTATTGATTCTCTCTATTGGGGACGAGTATTTCGATCTAGTCACGATTTCTTTACAACGTTGCACTAGATGAATACTTCGTCCCTAATAACAAGAGTATAAAATTTCACAAACATTTTTGATATGCATAGAAGAACAGAGGCGGACATTGGATGAATCCTACCCGGTGAGGTTTTCTTTCCAACCACACCGGACGAGATTTCATCCGACAGCAGCCTCTATATTGTACAATATTATATATTAAAATATATTTCTTTGATTAAATTCCTTTGATTGAACAAGATCAAGATACCTATATCAATCATTGATGAACTTTAAAATTATTAACAAATCACACTAATAATTCAAAAATAAATTACCACAATCAAAAAAGAGTAATTAAACTATCACAATCATAATTTATAAAGATTGATTTTTTAATATGTTAAAGCAAAAATTCAATAATATTAAGATAGAATGTCGAAAACACTGACTAACTTTGATCACGACGATTGACCATCCGCACTAGTTGATAGCACACAGATGACCTTCCACTCTTGTTGAACCATGCTTATATATGCTTTGGAGGTGTCTCCCTCCCCACTTTCTCAAGCAATACCGACCATCCGCATCAACTCAGTGAACATTCCATGAATTTCCTATATTTTCCTTGACATGTCAGGTAGACGCTTTTTTTTTATTACCTTACTGTATACATACAATCTGATTGTTGTCCTGTAAACAGTCGTTATGAAATCACGTATTGTTTACAGGATAATATCAGGAACATCAGCCAAAACAAATCTATGACAAATCTGTCTTTCAGCAAGGGTCACTGAAACATTTTATTTACTGATTATTTTGTAGAATTTAACGAAATTATTTTGATTTTCTTAAGAAAATTCGAATATACAGAAAATAATTAGATAAAAATATATTTTTATTTTATAGAAAACAATAGATAAAGATATATCCTTATATAAGTTTCACTTTGAAAACATAAAATAAAAAGAAATTGTTAAAAACAAATAAACGTTAATTAATAAAGATCAAATAAATTTTAATTTTTAATGGTAATTTTAATTATATATATCATATTCAGAAACGTATTGAACTTATTCAATAATTATTACTTAATTGCTCGTATGTAATTTCATGATTATTATTGATTATAAATATAAATATAACTTTATTGATTAATTTAATTATTATACAATGAATCGAAAAATATTTAGTAAATTTTTAATGCAACAAATAAATCATTTAATCAATTGTTAACAAATCCTCTCAATAAATGATTTTATGAACAAAATATTAAGATAATTTTGTATTACTATATTCAAATCGAGTAATGTTTAGACGAATAATTTTCTCATATTTTTCGGAGTTCAAAAATGAGTCATGTATATATATGAACCAGACATATTGTATGCTTTAGATTACTAGATTTTAATAGTGAAGCGACAGTCAAGTTATAAATATTGGTTAAAAGCGGTAACGATAATTATGCGAACGTGATGGAGCAACAACGGGCGCGCATGATTTTAAAAACAAGGTACCGATCGATTTCTATTGAAAGATGTTCAACATTGGAATCGCATTACTATGCTATCACAGTAAGGTTTTTGCTGAAAACTCATCCACGTGAATCATAGAGAGCTGACTGTTCCTCCATGACATGAAATTCAACGCCCTTTTGTCATCGGCTTTTTGACTTTACCATAATGGATGCACCATGCAAGAATTACTCTATTTTTTTTTTTTTGTATAAAAGTCTAAGAAATAATTTGTTTTACGAATATATCAATATTATATGTTTTTTAAATAATTCTCTATATAATAAAATAAATAAACATGCAAAAAAATTAGATAAATTAAATGTTGTAAAATGAAATTCATGTCTAATGATTTTAAGTCTTGATCAAAAAAGATTTTAAATATTATTGCTTAAAAAACAATAAAATTTATTACCATTTATTATTATAATCTCAATGAAATAATATAAAAACATAATTTTATGAATCTAATCTTATAGGATGTTTTTAATAGGAAGTTTTTAAAAAAATTATATAATTTAAGAAAAAATGGAATATTAAATAATGAATATTTATATTCATAATGAAAAAGATATAAAGATATTTCATAAATTGATAAAGATGATAACATTATAACAATTGCAATTGCAATCAATTTTTCAATAAAAAAAATATGTTATACGTACCAATGATCGATCGATCTTAAATTTCGTTAAGAACACGAACGACTGTCTTCGATGAGGCTACGAACGACGTGCAACCTTACTGAAATTGCTGATACAACATCCATTCATTTTGCAAAGCTCACGCATTTTGTTGCATACCACCGTCTTATATACAGATATTCGCCGTATCTTATATTGCAAACGATTGGTCTTATTATCTATTTATATTATTTCTGAAAGATCTTTTTTTTATGCGAATCTTTTGCGAATGATAATGATTATTACAGTAAATATTTATTTGCAATAGAGAGTTCTTCATTTCATTAAATTCATTAAATTTTTTCTGTTTTTTTTTTATAAAATCAAAATAAGAAAAGAAGAGAAAATAACTGTTTCGTCAATAGAAGATAGAATTTGTGAAAGTAATCCTTAAAAGCAAGGAAAAGTCCAAAATGTCTATACAATTGTTCAAGAGTGCGTATCCTGTATAGCCTTAAGCTGAGGGATTCTTGAAAATTTAAATTGTCGATGCGTATACCTGCCGAAAACTAATTGCCATGGTCATAATAGCCTCAGACGAAATGGGAAATTTTATTTGAATAGTAATATTTCTAAAGAAGATATATTGGTTCCTATTTATTGTTTGATAAATTTATGGAATTTTATTGCATTAAGAGTAGATATATTGTTTTAGCAATATACCGGGTGTTTTAAGAAATTTATGAAAAAATTTTAAATATCATATATATATATAATAAATAGCATATATATTTCAAAATAAGGAAAAAAATGTTTATATAAATTATCTTGCAAGAAAATTTATCTAATCCAAAATTTTTTTAGATTTTAATGAAAATTTGTATTTATGCAAAACATAATGGAGCAATTTTTTTTATTGATAAAAAATTTTTTGACAGAGAGTTTTGGATATCAATTCCGAAGTATTTTCAGTTTCATTTTGTTTCAGATACAATTTTACTTAGAAATTTTTTTTAGAAAATAAAATATTAAATTCTGACTATTTTGTAATTTAAAATTTTGTTTATTTATAAATTATACTCATACTTCATACCATTATATTATAGAATTATATTTTAAAAAAAGCTTCGAAAGTTTAAACGTTAATTTCCCTTCTTTAATATTCTGTTGAAAAAATTGTTTCATATATAATTCATTACATTTTATATACAAAATTTAATTGAAAGCAAATAAAAATTTAATTTTTAATTTTTAATAAGTTTTTATTTTTAATAAAATTAATAATATAGGTACGTTATCCTTTAAATTAAATCTCGAAATTAACATAAAACTGTTATTTCAATATATGCTTCTTCAGCAAATTAATAATTTTTGAATAATGAATCATGTTTAAATGCAATCAAGATTATGGGTCATCAAACTTTCAAGATTTGATAAAATAATTTAATTTACAATTTGATAAAAATATTTGTTATCAAATATATTAAAAAAGTATTTATTTTTTATAAACTTTTCTAAATATTTTTACAATAAAAAATTAATAGTCATTATAAATAAATAATATTAAGTGATATGTTATATGTTGTATGTACAATTTTGTAATATATTTATATTTATATATATACATATTTATTATTAAATTATTATTATGTAAATACATATAATTATAAATAAATATATATATAAATTATATATAATAAATATATTTGTTTATATATATAAATTTTTAATTAATTAATTTTTAATAAAAATTTTTAATTGAATATTATGGAAAAATTTTTTTAGGTAGGATTCAAAGGATTTGGTTTAAGTCCTGAAAAAGTGGATACTGTAGGTTTATTTGAATATGAAGGGAAGGATTATAAATTAAGGCACGGTTCAGTAGTTATTGCTGCAATTACTAGCTGCACTAATACTAGCAATCCTAGTGTTATGCTTGGAGCAGGTAACTTGTTTTGTAAAATTTATTACATATTATATTTTTATAAAAAATTTTTATTTAAACATTAAATAATTTCGAAACGATATGTATCTTTTAATTTTAGGTCTTCTTGCAAAAAAAGCTGTAGAAGCTGGTTTATATGTTCATCCTTATATTAAAACATCATTATCTCCAGGATCTGGAGTCGTTACTTATTATTTAGAAGAAAGTGGAGTGATTCCTTATTTATCAAAATTAGGATTTGATGTCGTTGGTTACGGATGTATGACTTGTATTGGTAACAGCGGTCCTCTTCCTGATATTATAGTTGAAACCATTGAAAAGGTAATGGAACAATGTTTTATACAAAACATTAAATATTTAATTTTTTTATATTATATAATTTTAATTTGTATTTCAATCATTAATTTATTTTTTATATAATTAGAATGGACTTATATGTTGTGGTGTATTGTCCGGTAACCGAAATTTCGAAGGTAGAATTCATCCAAACACACGAGCAAATTATTTAGCATCACCACTTTTAGTAATTGCTTATGCTATTGCTGGAACGGTAGACATAGATTTTCAAAAAGAACCCCTTGGTAAGTGATATAAATTAATTTTATTTTATGATTTTTCGAAAATTTCGTAATGCTAAAAATATACAGGACATCAAATGGATGGCACCCCGGTGTTTTTACAAGATATTTGGCCTACTAGAGCAGAAATTCAAGTCGTGGAACAAAAATATGTAATTCCGGCTATGTTTAAAGAAGTTTATAACAAAATCGAAAAGGGGAGTACTAATTGGGCGAATTTGGTAGCTCCTGATGGTAAATTGTATCCATGGGATTCATCTTCTACCTATATAAAACGTCCACCATACTTTGATAATGTACAAAAGGTAAGTTATATATTATATTTTCATATATTTTTATTTTATACTTAATGATTATTTTCTTTCATAAATATTTATTTGTATTTATATTTTAAATATTTATATTAATTATTTATGTGTTTAACAAATAATTTAATATTGATAATGATTTAATAATATCTATTATAATTAGGAATTACCAGAAATAAAATCAATTACCAAAGCACGTGTTCTTTTAAATCTTGGGGATTCTGTTACGACAGATCATATTAGTCCGGCTGGTAGTATCGCACGCAATTCTCCAGCAGCACGATATCTTGCAAATCGTGGGTATGTTCAAAAGACAATTAAGTGTTTATAAATATTTACTTTATTTTTGATTTATTTTTCTTTATTTTTAGATTAACACCAAAGGAATTCAATTCTTATGGTGCGCGTAGGGGTAATGATGATGTAATGGCACGAGGCACATTTGCTAATATTCGTTTAATGAACAAATTTATCGGAAAAGCTGGGCCACGTACGATTTACATTCCTACTAAAGAAGAGGTTTGTAAAAATAGAAATTGATTGAATTAGATTTTATAATATTTTTGCTTTTAGATGGATGTTTTCGATGCAGCTGAATTATATATAAAAGATCAAACGCCTTTAATAATTCTTGTTGGCAAAGAATATGGATCTGGATCATCAAGAGATTGGGCTGCAAAAGGACCATATCTTCTTGGAATTCGGGCAGTTATAGCTGAATCGTATGAAAGAATACATAGGTAAATTTTTTTAACAAATAAGAGAAAATATTTAAGGAAATATTATATTTATAAACAAAAAAATTATAGAATTATAAAAATTTAAAATATTTAAAGATATTTTATATATTTAATATAAATATTTTAACAAGTTTTTTTTTTTTATGATATACTAGATCAAATTTGGTAGGTATGGGTATTATTCCACTAGAATATCTACCTGGACAAAATGCAGAATCTTTAGGATTGACCGGTTATGAAATTTATGATATAACTATTTCCGAAAATTGTCAACCAGGTCAAAAAATTACTGTTAGCACGGATAATGGTAAAAGATTTGAAGTAATTTTACGATTCGATACTGAAGTAGATTTAACATATTTTAAACATGGTGGTATTTTAAATTACATGATTAGACAAATGCTTTGATAGTATTATTGAATCAATCAAGTTATAAATATCATAAAAAGTTACTTAATATAATACTTAATTTCGGGTTTGGATTTGCAGCAGTCTGAATATATCCATATCCTTATTTATAGTAAAAAAAATTAATTATAACGAATGTTACTTCTTTGCTATAAAACATAAAAAAGCCAAAAAAAAAATATATATATATATTAAATACATTAAATACATCAAATCTGTTTGGATAAATATATTTATTTTTGCGTATTACAAACTTTTGCCTTTAAATTTTGTGAAATTACGAAGTTTCTTATATAATAGATATTGAAAGCTATTTGAGTGATATATTAATTACAATTTATGAATGATCGTGCAATATTCATATAGTAAATCAAATTTCTTACATTTTATAATGATTGTTTTTAAAAAAAGAATCTTATAAAAATTAATACTTGTTAACATAATAAAGTGTTAATAATTATTGCAATTGTGACTTTTTAATCTACAATTAATTTTCCAACATTGAAAAAAGTAAAATATTTTAATCTATATCAGTCAATATTTCTTATTTTGTATTCAATATTATGCATTTATTTATACAATCCAGTTTGAACCAGTTCTATTTGTTCCTAATTGTCCATATTTAAGAATTTCTTTATAGTTAGATTCTTTGTAAGCATATCCTGAGAATTTTAATTCAACTAAATGTTGATCTGTTGCTCCATATAAATATGTATTATCAAAACTTAGAGAATAAACGGGACTGGACATTCTACGAAGATTCATGAAATAGAACTATAAAAAGAAAAACACACTATGAGTGTGTTATATAACTGAATTGTATGTTTACAATACATTATAGATACTGACTTGTACATAATTTTTCTGTCTTTGATCCCAGAGAACAGCTTTGCAATTAAATTTAGTTCCAGTGATCATAGTATACTGATAATCTGATGATATACAATATAAAGTTGCATCTGTTGGATCTGGCCATGAATACACACATGTTCCCGTTCTAGAATAATTATTTAATAATGTTAAATTTAAAAATAAGAATGTTACAATGACATTAATAAATTTAAAATAATTATTAATTATTAATTATTAAATATAAAAAATTATTAAATTAATAATTAATAATTATTAAAACTATGAAAGATTTTTAATCTTATATATTCTAATATATAAATACATATGAAATATTTAATAAATATTATTTACCTTAAATCCCATTTTCGGACATAAGTATCATATCCACAGGTAAGTAGAATTTGAGGACTATCCCAAACCATATCTAATGTTCCTGCACATCTTCTTTTATCTGGCTTTAATATATCAGATTCAGTATAACTAGAATTATTATAAAGTATAAATTTTATAAAATAATAGAATATCTCCAACAATTTATAATTTGTTGTATAATTTAAATAATAACTTACTATTCAAGATCAAATATATGAAGATAGGGTCTATCACTATCACCAGCAGAACCTACAGCAATTTTTTTATTTGTTGGATCTGCTGAAAGAGAACATACCCACTCCTCAATGTTTATTGTTGCCAGAGGTACATTTAAAATCTTTTGTCCAACAGGACCCCAAATCTAAATATTATTATAATATTATTTTATAAAGAATAATTCCAATTACTAATAATATAAAAATTGTTTATTATGTAAAGTAATATTTAAAATTTAAAATATTACCTTCACAGTTCCATCACTAGAACCTGATATAATTGCACTAAAAGTTTCATCTAATGCATTTACATTTCTAGTATGTGCTCTATCTATACTAAAGTAAAAACCTATATTTTGATCACATTGTGATTTTGTCCAAAATTGTATACTTCCATCTCTGAAAAAAATTTATATATGAATGAAATAACAATGTATAAAATATTAGCTTAATTATTTTTTTTATTAATAATTTAGTAATAAATTAAATACCTGTGACCTGTAATAATATATTCATTTTTGACAATAAATTTGCATATATCACTTCTAACATTATCACTAATAAATATGCGATTATTTTCTTGAAATGGTTCTATACGTCTAAAACCATACAATTGATTTCCACCACTCCACCATAAAATATCTTTGGTTAATTGAATCCTTGGTATAAGTTTTCTGTTTTGAGAGAAGAGAATTTTCTTCTCATATTTACCATATTGCCAATTGTTTGAAACATGCCACTTTGTACGCAAACATAGTAATGAATTGCATCTATTAAATTTAAATATTCAAACCTTAATAAAATTTTAATATAACTTCAATACATCTTATTATGTAGTCTTTAATTGATATTTTAATTTAAAAATAGAATTTGTATATTAATTTTTATTTCGAAAGAATTTTCGAACTGATCCTTCATTTTATCTTATCTTTTATATTAATTATCAATATATTATGGATAATATTATGGAATAACTGAGAACCATCTGGAGCTTTCTAAATTTTGTATATATATTAAGATAAAAGCTTCTTGTTTCTTGAATCAATGTATATTATGAACTTTGTAACACATAGAACTGTGCGAACAAAATCACGTCATCGATGACAACTAAAAACTGTGTCAAAAATAATATATTATATACCGAAAAAATTCTTAAACATAACCTAACGTACCTTTCGCGAAATTGTCTCGAAGTTTGATTTGTCACAATCGGTTGTTTACTCTTCTTAATCCAAAGTGTTTCTTCCCGTATAATATCGTAGAAACGTGTACATACTTCACTAAGTCGCACCAAATCAAACGCATGGCAATAATCGAAAATTAAAATCAAAACATCAGATGGCAAAGTGTCCAAACGCCACACACCTGTCATTTTGTCAAGCCAATCACGTGGCGACCGAAGATACAACAGCTGTTCAACTTTAGTATTACGTAAATTGTCATATGTAAAAAATTTTCTTTTCTTAACAAAGATATAATATAATAAGAATTAAACCAAGAATATATAAAATTTTATTATATTTTTATTAATTATATTATTTATATATTTATAATATCTTTAAAATTGATAAAAATATTTATTGATAAAATAATAATTATTAACAACAATATTCATTTGCATTAAAAATATATCTAATTTATATTTATAAAATTAGTTCTCTGCAATTGTACATTTTTTTCCTGCTTCTTCAGGTGTTTTCCATTCTATATTATTCTTTGTATCTATAAATGATATTTTTTTAATAATAATAATATAAAATATAAAAAGAATTTTAGACAGTTTAATATAATGTAAATTAATAAATTTATTACCTGGTATCATATCTTTTAAATATTTTAGATACAAAATAAGGTATATGAATGCTGTTATAGCAGCAATCGATGAAAATATTCGTAATGTTATTACTCCTCCAAATAACTTGTACAATATTCCACCTATTAGACTTCCGATTGCAAAACCTAAAATAATATTTTTGTGATATCTAATATATAAATATATTAAATATTTATAATATTTAAAAAAGTATAATATTTAAAAAACTATAATATCTAAAGTATTTGCTTAAAAACCAATTAATTATAAACTTTAGTTACCAAAACCATCATCCATACCAGCTACGATTCCTTGAATCGTAGCTGATGTACCAGGTGGAGCAATTTTGCTTGCATAGGCAACTATTGTTGTATAACAAAGTGCATAAGTAGGTCCTTGCATAAATAACTCTATTGGTATTACCCACCATGGATTTGATGCTAATGAAATTAATCCAAGTCGTAAGGCATAACATATAAAACAGAATGTAAAAGTATATCCAAATCCTAATTTCTTTAGGATTTTGCCTATAAAAAAATTTGAATAAATACAGAAGTTATGTAAAATATAAAATTTAATTATATAAATAAATAACTTACCAGAGAAAGAAAAAAATATTATTTCACCACCTAGAGTTTCTGCGGCCACAATTAAACCTTCTATTAATTTAATTTTACTCATGTAATTGGTTGTCATAGCAAGATCTTCCAAATACCTATTTGAAACATATTATTTTCGTACGATTTTTTCATGCTTTTTTATTTATCATATATTTCGAAAAATTTTAATTATCTGAACAAAAGTTATTTTATTGAAATAAAAATTTACCAAAATAAGAAATAAATTATAAAGCTATCAAGAATGCCAGCAATTGTTGTGAAACAGAGAAATATAATTATAGATTTCAATTTTAAAAGTTTTATAACATCTTTCAATATATTTGTGGACGCTGTCATTAATGGTAGCTGTAAAAATTATTTTTAATAAATTGTTTATAACTAAGAATATTATTTTAAATATTATAATACTTACATCCAATTTTTTACAACAAAATAAATCAATGACTGTAAATATAAGAATAAGTAAAAACGCAGGTGTATATGTTTTAATAATTTCTCCTTTAGACCAATAATCTACTGCATAACCAGCTAAAAAAGCTGAAATTCCAAAACCTATAGTTCCCCAAACACGCTGTCTACCATATCCCATTTGACCATTTTCACCTGGAAAATGAATAATGATAAACTAAGATTAAATTACTTATATTTATTATTAATAATTTTAAATAAAAAGAGATGAAATTATATAATACCTAATATATCAAAACAAATTGCATCACTCATACAATTGCTTACATTAAAACCAATATTACCAAGAGACATTAATAAAACAAAACTCCAAAAAGTTACAGATGTATATAGACAATAACTATCTTCAAATTTATCACAGATAACATTGCAATTATTATTTTCAGAACAATATGAGGTACTATTTTTATCAATTAAGCATGTGGAATTTGAGGCAAAATTTATTTCCTCATTAATTGCTTGAAATTGTATTGATAGAGAGAAATTTTTATTTTTACAAGTCCAATGGCATATAGCATTCTTTACTCCCATACATAAATATGGTTTGGAAATATCCTGAAGTAAAAAAGTTAAAAAATTAATTTTTAATTTGTATAATAATCTAGTTATATAACTTTTTGTAATTAAAATAAAAAATTACTTGTGATGTACAATATGGTAATAAATCACAGGATACATTATTAATACTATGATCTGGAAAAATTGGACCTGGAAGCACTGATAAAAAGTACATACAAATATAACAACTACTTGTTGCTGTTAATAATATAATAAAAATTGTTTTTCTCCAAGAATAAAAATAATCCACAAGAAAGCCAAAAGTTGGTTTAGCAATTAAAAATAAAATTGGTAAAATAGCTGTAATGCTGCCCATAATTAATGCAGAAATACCAAGTTGTTTGCCATATACTGGTAAAAATGGAAGAATTGGACCCATTGCTATAATTAAACATAATATGAGAATAATATAATAAAAAATATATGTTTAAATCTAATTATTAATACTTACCAGCCATAAAAAAGAAGTAATGTGCCTTAATAGGCAATTGCATATAATTTAACTTCATTCTTTATAATTTTATCTTTATAATTTTAATAGTAATAAATAAATATTAAGAAAAATATTTTTTTAAATATTTAAATTTAGACAAAACAATGTACTTAAATTCAACACTGTTTCCTGTAATTAAAATATATTAATATAATTAATTAAAAACAATCTATTATCTGAAAATAATAAGTGTATTAATAAAACATATATTATAAATTTAAGATAATATGACATAGAGAAAGAAAACAGATATGTTATCATACGTAGATACGGTAAATATATTATTAAATTTGAAAAATATATAATATTATAAAAAATATATAATATTATATTTTATAATATATATATTTCTAAAATTGTTCAAATTTTGAAATTTTAAATAAATAAAATTTCAATGTAACAAAATAATTCTATTTTATAAATTCGTTTTTAACTGATTTTTTGTTTTTTTATTTTAAATAAATAACGACATAATAAATACCGTTTTTATTATCAGATTCTATTTATATAGTTTATATCCATTTTGAAATTAACGTAAGTTGTTTTTCTATAATAAAAAAGATTATTATTTACAAATAAAAGTATTATAATATAAAATTAATGCGATGTATAAATTTAGCAACAATATTTGTTCATGTTTCATGATTTTCATATTGTTCATATTGTAGAATAAAATGAACTGTCAATTATTCGAAGATCATACTAATATTTTGAAAATCACAAATGTTTGATATTTCGCATGCACATACTATACTAGCGCTACTATTATATAGTGGTAATATCTCGAGATACAGGATAATCTTTTTGCTACTTCGAAGTATCACCAATCATAATATGTATATATATATATTGCTTGCTTGCTATTTGATGTACTTAATATCTATTATTAGAAGTCGACGTTGCCTTTATGACACTAACAATTAATAATATTAATAGATATAGATATATATAATTCTATGAAATAAAAAATGAGAATAAGAAAAGAATTGTCCTTTTTTATTTCATCGATACAGATGTATGTTGTCTTTAAGCGATTGATAACAAATTATAAATATATATTTTGTTTTAACATGATTTTATCATTATCGAGTAATTAACAATACTACATTTGAATTAATAAAATTACTTTGAGAAAATTATTTTATATTCTATATTCTATATAATTTATCAAATACTATAAATATTTTATATAAATTGCTATATATATCTCAATGTATTTGCCATATATTTGCCAAATATTAAGTTATAGTTTATAATATTTATAAACAATAAATTCATAAACAGTAAATTTGTTAAAATTGTTTAATATGTTAATATGTGTATAGATTTTAATGATTTTAAAATATATCGTAAAGATATCATTTATCATCATTTTGAACAACTTTTTTTTTTAATGATGATCGATTTTAGTTTTCGAATTATTTGCAAAAAACTTTTCATATATCATTAAATTTTATCTATAATATTTATGCGATTATTATTTATATAAACTATAAATAAAAAATGAGATTTTCAATCTTTAGTTAAACGATTAATTTTTTATTTTAAAAATAGGTAATTACGGTAACTTCAGTATATTCAGTATTATATCGATACATTTCAATCTATATAATCAATTCAATAAAAGATAATTTAAGACTTAAAATGAAACTGTTTCATTTTTTTATGAATTGATTAAATTTTGAAAGTTTTTTTTAGAAAGAATAAAAATACTACGTCGTAAATAAATAATGCTTAAAGTTTTAATTATCTTACTTGCACATTATTAGATAATTATACATATTATACGCCTCTATCAATACCGATTAGTTATCTTACTCGAATAGAATTCATTTTATCAAAAATGTAAACATTTCTAAATTTATATTTTTAAGAGAAATATATTATAATTTTAAATAAAATATAATTTTTTTTTTAAATCGAATAATTGATTATTTGAATTACTTTACAATTTTTTTCACCTATTTAAATAGTTCAGTATATATAAATAGTTCAAATTAAATTTTTTAATATTTTTAAAAAAAATATAAAATATTTTATATTTTTGCAAACTTTGAATAATTTCTATAAAAATTCATATAATAATATTCATAAAAAATTCATAGAATAAACATATATTTGCTTTAAGAAAAAAGATGTTACATATCGATGATAATAATTTGCTTGCAATTGTTTCTGATACTTTTAATATGATTTTTCTTTTCGAAGAGAAATGCATTTAAATTATCGAAATGAATTATTCTTTGCGAATTATGTATTTGATAGAAAATTTTAAATTATAGTTTGGATATATTGTTAATAACAGTTGAATTAAAAATGAATTGATTAATAATAAATTAATTAAAAATATGTAACAAATAATATATAATACATAAAATATTGCAAAAAATAGATATAATTCGATTAAATAGAAATATAATTTATATACTCCATATATATATATATATATTGTTTGTAATATATTTTTCTTAAAATAACATTATTTATTACTATTTAATAAAAT